GCATCAGCAGGTCTGTAGCCAAAATCTGGATCTATCCCTATGTTCCCACCACCACCAGAGTAACATCTTTGGGGAAACAGCACAATTTATTATCTTGAACAGAGTGTGTTGGTCAAAGCTTCTTTCTATTTTCTATGGAAATGCTCTGTGGATACCACAACTCCTTTCTCAAATAACATGAAACCCTAATAAACCATCAGCTTCCATGGGTAGACAATGGAATAATGGATCAGAGTTCCAAAGTGTTTAAGTAATTTTAAGGTACCAATTGAATTCACATGTCAGGTTTTCCATTTCCCAGCTATATTTACAGAAGGATCCATAATACCAAGAAGTCTTTTTTAAATTCATTGTTAGAAAATGGTATTTCATCAAACACCTTTTCACTTCTTAGAAAAATGTTCTTTATAACAAACAGATAAAACTGATGTTTAAATCAATGATTATTCCAAATATATATTTAAATTATTTATTATAAACTATAAAATATTAATTAAAAAACCAAATGTAGAAATAAAACTAATTTACAAATCTCAATAGTTCATCTCTGTCAACTCAGCCATCATAAAATTTAAACAAACAAATCACAAATCTTTATTCTGTGCTTTTTTATCCTGACATCTGAACCCCACCAGACATTGGCTTTTTTCATTTCCAACAAGCCAGGACATTAGTTTCTGCCAGATCAGAATAAACAAACTAGGGTCCAAAAGCACAAGGTTTATTTAGACACATCTACTTGAAGTCTAATTCAACCCAGACAATGAGGAAATCAAAATAGTTAAGAGTTTCTGTATCTTGGATCAACATTGATGAGAACCAAGACTGCAATCAAGAAATAAGAGTAGGAATAGGAAGGGCATCTATGAAAGAACTAAACTAAAGAATAAAGATATATAACCAAACACTAAAATTAGAATCATCCAATCCACGGTATTCCCCATCACCATGTATGGATGTGAAAGCAGAACAGTGAAGAAAGTAGATAGAAAGAGTATCAACTCTCAACCAAGGGTCACACAATGTTATAAGCCCACACATCTCCATGCCACTATTCCCTGAAGGTGCCAGCCACATATGCAGGTAAAATGTCAGGGATAAATTATTCCAGAACACAACCACACAGCCTAAAAAACCCACAAAAAGTATCAACTCATTTGACATGTGGTGTTAGAGAAGAGTGCTGAGTGAGGATATTGTGGATGGACAAAAAGATAAACAAATTGATCCTTGAATAGATCAAGACTGAAATCTCCTTGGAAGGCAAGATGGTCAAACTGAGGTTGTCATACTTTGGCCACATCATGAGAAGGCACAACTCATTGGAAAAGACAATAATGCTAGGAAAGGTAGAGGGCAATAGAAAAAGAGGAAGATGGATAGACTAAGAGCCTTTGCAAACTGCCAGAAATAGTGCAAATTAACTCCACTTTAATTGCCCTGACTGAGTGCTAGGGAATCATGTGAACTGTAGTTTATTGTGGCACCAGAGCTCTCTGACAGAGAAGGCTCAATGTCTCAGAAAAAAATACAATTCCCATGATTCCCTAGCACTGAGCCAGGGCAGTTAAAGTGGACTCAATTTGCACTATTTCTAGTAGTCTGCAAAAGCCCTAAATCAGACAGATGGACCTGAATTTCCAGGACCTAAGCAGAGAAGTGGAGAATAGGTGGGCTTGGAGATGTTTTATTCACAAGGTTTCCATGAGTCGAGGTTGACTCGAAGGCAGTTAACAACAGAAACTTCAAGTGAAGGCAATTAACAAAATGAGGCAGAACATGGAACTATGGCTTATTGTAGTTTTAAAACACATGCACAGAGTTCACGTAGTGAGCTATCCTTTAGATAAGATATTGGTCAGGAATTTCCAAAACTGCATTACATTTGTAATGGACTGAATTTCTGCCACACTGCAGAATTAATGCAGTTTGATACCACTTTAACTGCTATGGCTCAATGCTATGAAATCCTGGGATTTGTAGTTTGTTGTGGCACCAGAGCTCTGTGACAGAGAAGGCTAAATATTTCACAAAACTGCAGAATCTAGAATCCCATAACACTGAGCCATGGCAGTTAATTCTGCCATGTAGATGCAGCCTATTTTACGGAAAATGCTATTATCGTAAAGTTGGTCGACGAGTATTTGATGACTGTTCTTTTTAAAGCTGATCAAACATGCCCAAACACTATACCATACAGTTGCCCCTCTGTTTTTGCAGACTTGGAGTCTTCATCCCTTGCCCATTTGTGGTCGGCAAGCTGAGGAGGACAAAATGGGGTGCACTGCCATTCAAGCAAATGGAGCTTGAATATTTGCGATTTTCCGTTTTCACAGGGTGGTGGTGGCCGGAACAGATCCCCGCGAAAAAGGAGAGGTGATTGTATATAGATTAAGAGATCCCCAAAAATCCTGATCTGAGCTTGGGAAAGTTACTGTTTTGGTTTACAATTTCCAGAATCCCTCCACTAGCATGGCTACTGACTTTGCTGGTTGAGGATGTTGGTATTCATAGCTTAGTAACTTTTCCAACTTCCAATCTTGATATATTTTAATACAAACAAAGCATCTCAACACCTTTTCTATACTATGACTGTTTGTCAGGAGACAAACTGTGTATTGTAACTTAACAGTAACAGAGGGATGACATTTATTCTAAGAGCACTATAGTTCTTTAGTCTGTTGCTACAATCTCCATAAAAGACTAGATGCAAAAAGGAAGACACACAGCCTAAACTTTATATATGTGCAGAACTAAATATTTACATAGGGAAACCTGTAAGTCCAGATTGTCTCATACTAGGGTAACTGGCATTTTAAAAGCTAGGACAACAACGATATAATTGTACTATCATGATCCAACATGTAAAGGCAGCATAGGCAGCAACTATTTTAAAGTGTAGTTGTTTCTGAGATTCAGTTTTCAAAACCACAAGACAAAAATATGTGAATTCATTCTGATTAAACTCCTTATGATGCTTTCACAAAAGCTTGCATCAAACCCCAATTAAGTTAAAAGGACCCTGTAAGATTTGGGGCTTAATCACAGATGCGGGTGTAGATGTTCATAATCACTGTACATAAGCAATGAAGCTTTTAAAACAGTGCACAGAAAAACTGAGAGCGAGTGTGGTGTAGTAGTTTGAGCACTGGATTACAGCTCTGGGTCGATTTCCCACTGAACCATGGACATCCACTGAGTAACCTTGGACAAGTCATATGTTCTCGGCCCCAGAAAACTCCATAATAATCTTTCCAAGAAAAGGCCATAATTTGTTTGCCTCAGGGTCACCATAACTCAAAAATGACTTAAAGGCATACCACAACAAGAACAGAAAAACTTAATCAGAAAAAAGACAGAACATTAACTCTAGTAGAATTTATAAGTAGAAATTAAGTTCTGTTTCCTTTGTTAATGAAGAAGTTATAGAAAGAAATCTGAAGAATCAAACCATGATCAATGCAAATGTAAAAAACCAGAAGTGTTACCATTCAGTCCCTCCTCTGAATTTTCAAAACATGTGTGGATATGCATCCAAAAACAGATCAAGATTTGCCTGTTTAAACATGTGGATGAAATATCAGGCTTCGCTGTAGTGAAATGCTGATATGTGTTGAGCACATCTGACTAAGCATGTGATAAGACATAAAAGTGACAAATAAAGCAAGTTCTGCTTTAAGGTAGGGAAAGCTTAACAAGGAAATGAAAGAAGCTTGAACCTGAAACTTGAACACTGCCTGGAAAAGACATAAATCCCAACAGAGGGAGAGGGAGAGCAAGCTAAAAATGTCTCCCTTAGCTGAACTTTTCATTCCATAAAATGGGAGCAACTAATTAGTTATGTTGTTGAGAAACTGAGGTCTAATCTGCACTGCAAAAATAATCCATCTTGACACCACTTTAACTGCCATGGTTAAATACTATGGAATCCTAGGGTTTGTAGTTTATTGTGGCACCAGAATGCTCTGACAGAGAAGGCTAAATAGCTCACTAAACTACAAATCCCAAAATGCCATACCATTGAGCCGTGGCAGTTAAAGTCACATTAAACTGCATTATTTCTGCAGAGCAAATTACACCTGAGTGAACCTATTCATAATTAGTATGACACACACACACAAATACAATTGTGGGCATGGATCATACAGCTTTGGCCATTAGGGCCTCGAGGTGGATGTCTGCTAAGTTTAGAAACCCACCTCACACTTCAGTGCATTTTGGATATATGACTGCAAATATTTACTACATATAAAAATATGAACTAATCCTAGCATTACTGCAAAGCCTTCCTGAGTAAGGGCCTTTGCAGACTGCCAGAAATAGTGCAAATTGAGTCCACTTTTAGGGTTAGGGTTAGTGCTAGGGAATCATGGGAATTGTTTTATTTCTGAGACATTGAGCCTTCTCTGTCAGAGAGCTCTGGTGCCACAATAAAATACAGTTCCTATGATTCCCTAACCCTAACCCTTGAAGTGGACTCAATTTGCACTATTTCTGGCAGTCTGCAAAGGCCCTAAATCTCCTTTTAGGACATAAAACAAATAATACTGGATCAGAGCAAAGTCCTACCCAGTCCAACATTCTATTCCAATAATAGCCAACATGAGGCTCTTTCACACAGTCAGAATCATAGGACTATTATTTCATTTGAATCACCATGGTTCCATCCCACAGAATCCTGGGTTTATAATTTGGTGCGATACTAGAGCTCTCTGACAGAGAGTTCGAAATATTGTATCAATCTGTAATTCCGCAATGTGAATCATTCCCAAAAGTCACTATGAAGCACACAAAAAAGATGTAAATGTAAGAACACCATAGGGAAACACATATTAATATGCACAAAAGCTATTTTATCTTAAAAGTCTTCAGAAAATATTCCTTTTTTTAAAAAAAAAGTTTTTGTGTTTTATTAAATATATTCTTCTGTTTAGATAGACTAAAGTATTGTAGCATTCCTTGTACTACATTAATGAGTGCATGTCAAACAAACATACTGGGTCTGTTGCTCAGTGGTAAAGCACATGCTTGGTACGCTAGATATCTCAGGTTCAATCCCTGCCATTAACATGTGAGACTAAGGAATCATCCCTGAAATCTAGGCAGTGATGATAATACTGGGATAGATGGAGCAAAGGTTTGTTTGAGTATTAAGGGAAGTGGCTATAAAATAGTAAAGATACAAAAGATCAGAACTTATTTGTTAAAACTTATAATATGTATCCAAGTTGAAGAGAGACAATGTAAGGGAGCTGACTATAAAATACTAAAGATGCAAAAGAGCAGAACTTATTTGTTAAAACTTATAATATGTAACCAGCTTGAAGAGAGACAATGTGGTGTAGTGGTTTGAGTGTTGGACTATGACTCTGGAGATCAGGCTTCGATTCCTGCATGGCCATGGAAACCCACTGGGTGACTTTGAGTGAGTCACATACTCTCAGAAAACCCTGTGATAGGCCTTAGGGTCACTATAAGAAATGAGTTGAAAGGACATAACAACAAAAACAGCAACAACAACAATCCAGGTTGAAGGCGACCAGCAACCATTTTACATATAATATTTATTCTATCCTTAATGAAATAAAATTGATACTGAAGATTGGGATATAATGCATATAGAATAAAATAATGCAACTATCAATGTATGAGAAGTGGCTTTACTATATTGTGCATAATGGACAAAGGTGGTAATAAAGATCACAAACAAGACTTGAAGTGGAAAGAGGACTATTGCCAATTGGCATGATCACAACAATGTAGCTCTTTGTTACTTGAATACTGAAAGAATAGTAAACCTTCCTGGACAGAGTAAAAAAAAAAAGTTGGATTAAGGTTAAATGCATCCTATACAAGAAAACCACCAATCCATAGAAACAAGGGCAGAGAGAGATTTATTGTAGCCTACTGAGAAAACGGGTTTCACTCTCCAGATTTTTAATTACAATAAAATGAAAAAAAAAATAGTACTGTACATTGTTGGTATGATAAGCAAATGCTACATAAAAATTAAAGAAACCAACAGAAAAAATGCACTGAGAAGTCCTCTTTAGTTATTCTCCATAGTCACAGCCAACCTTTCCTGTTTCACATTCAGTCAGGTCTCATGCCATCCCTACTTGCTGCAATGAAATTTTCTCAGGTAATCTTTCATGTGGATTGTGCCCAATTGTTGAAGGATTTTGGCATTTGATAGCAAGAGAAGTGCCAATTCTGAAAAATGGTTTACATAATCTAGCAGGGTTTGTTTTAAGGCTAAAGCTTACTACCATTATATTGGATTTGCTTCTTTGATCTATAATAGAGTTCAGAAATTCTTTTAGCAAAACAGCAGGAATCTTTCGTAATATGCGGCTTAATCAAGGTTAAACCACAATGGTTAAAAATTAAGCATTTAACATAGGACAGTGATTTGCAATTGGAATAAATAAACAAAAAATTAAGAAATGAATCAATCTTCTACTAGACAAATCAGTTTTTAAAGAAGATGTGCATCAGTAAGGAGATTATCGCTTGCCTTAAATAATACTCCTTACCTCTCCTGGAATTAACTCTAATTCGCACTGCAGCCATGTTTTATCACATGGTTTTTTCAGTGGAATCCAACTTCAGAGTATATCCCCGATCCAATGCGCATTCGAAAACGCACTCTGGTGGCCATTTTTACAAGTCAGAAGGTTACAACTAGGGAAAATGGCCGCTGGAGCATGTTTCCCAATTCGCATTGGAGCAGGGATCTACTCTAAGATTGGATTCCGCTGCAAAAGCCGTGCAATAAAACACAGCTGCAGTGCAAATTAGAGTTAAATTCAGGAGAGGTAAGGAGTATTATTTAAGTCATGCGATAATCTCCTAAATGACAATTCTAAATGTATCACACTCATGCACAACATTCACAGAAGCCTAGTAATCCCAAATTGCATCTTATGTCCAAGGTAAGCATGAAGGCTACAAGTTAGTCTCTGTTCTGCTTATTAGCTAAGGAAGCAGGTGACGAATGATCCAAGAGGAAATGATTAATGCAACTCTTAAATGGCAGTGATGGAGGACAATGACAAAAGAGATTCCTCCATAATAAAAGGCAATCCTGCACAAGACAGGAACAATTCTTCTCAATAGCATCATAACAAAAAGAAGCAGCAAAAGAAGTAGCAACTAGTATGTCCATCCAACATATCACTTATGTTTTACTGATTTTAGTTAAAAGTGCTTTCTCTATAGATTTAGAAAAGCATTCTGTTTAAAGTCAATACAGTTGTGTATCCAAAAATTGTCTCTTACTTAGATTTGGAGCAAACAAAGCAGCAGAGTCTGGGGGGAGCAGAGAACAAGGTTTGTGGGTGCTTCACATCCCCTATCCATGAATTTCATAGGGTTTTCTTAGACAAGGAATACACAGATGTGGTTTTTCCAGTTCCTTCCTTTTGTCACTTGTATATCTTATCATATGGTTGGTCTCATGTACCCAAAACATACATTGGGTACTACTCTCTCCAGCTCTATTTCAGCCTACAGCACTGGTATTTCTTGGTGGTTTCCCATTCAAGTACTAACCAGAGGTGACCCTGCTTAGGTAGATACACACAAAAAAGGCAATTATGAATGACACTTCTCCTCTGATCTCCAACAGATAAGAAAGGATAGTGTGAGAAAAAAGAAAAACATATCACAAGATCTTCTTAGTTATTTAGGGACAATATAGTGAAGTGTTTCATGATGGTTTTTTAAGGGGGATATCAAAGTTTCTCTTTGCTGAACTATGAGTCCAAATATTTTTTTAAAAATCCAGTAAAGATATCACACCTATTGGTGTCCATACCTAGTTTGCTCTATGTTCTCTAAAGATATTTCACAGCAGCAATGTATTGTTATGAGCTATCCATATTTGATTCCCAGCTTGGCCATGAAACCCACTGGGTGACCTTGGGCAAGCCACATGCTCTAAGCTTCAGAGGAAGGCAATGCCAAACTTCCGCTGAACGAATCTTGCCAAGAAAAACCATGATAGCATCACCTTAAGGTCACCATAAGTCAGAAATGACTTGAAGGCACACAACAACAACAAAATCCCTACTGTTAACTCACAATACTATGGGATAGTCTGCCATTCAGTGGGCAAAATACATTAGTTCTACAAAATAAATGTTCCTGTGGAGCTGGAAACTGATAGAAACAGGTGAAAGAAAAGAGACAGATAATAAACACAGCCACCTGATTTTTAGACTCTCCTGGAGGGTCATTATAGTAGATAATGTTGAAGGTGTGCACTTCACATTTGACCACTCCATTACTACATGAGGACATAAATCTTATGAATCAGATTAAAGGGCCATCTCATCCAACATTTTGTTTCCACAGTGGCTATCCAGGTATCTGCTTGAATACAAAACAATCTTCCAGAAGTAGTTTCCTCTCACCTGCCTCAATCCACAGATAATTTAATCAGTCTAGATTCTATTGTAAGGCTATCACTGATATCCAGCTAGGAATAATCAGTCACACTTCTTATGAATGTTTCCTTTGAATAATATCAGTACAGTACAAAAAATGACCACTGAGACCATTTTTAAAAGGTCATACTGGTGTTTATAGGATTTTTAAAGCCACAGTTATACACTTGTGGCCCACCCAGTTTCTGATGCCATGTAACAATAGAAACGTTAAGTTAAAACTAGTTTTAAAACTTTAAAACTTTATTAAAAACCAGAGAAGTCAAGTCAAGTAGACTCACATTAAAATCTGAAGCTGAATAATATTGACCTCTCAGTATTTGGGAGAAAGGTGAGATATAAATTGAAAGAAATAAACTAACAAATAAAATAGTTGCCTGTCTTTAAAAGATGCCTCCCTCTGATCAGGCTGCATCTGATGAAACATTACACAGACCCATCAAAATTCAGTAGAAAAACTCAGTATTCCACAATTTCTGAGAAGCAGGTGGGTGGGAAAACAATAATGCTAGGAAAGCTGAAAGGAAGCAGAGAGTAAGTCCGCAAGCTAGATGGATGGACTCTATAAAAAGAGGTCACAGGTACGAATTTGCAGGAATTGAGCAAAGCAGTGGAGGACAGGGAATCTGGGAATCTACAGGGTCGCCATGGGTTGAGATCAACCCGAGGGTGGATAACAAACAACAAAGATGGGTGTACCATAACATTTGATTATTCTGATGTGTATGAGGGCCAGCATAGTGTAGTGGCTTGAGCTCTGGACTATGACTCTGGAGACCAGGGTTCAAATCCCCACTCGAGCATAAAAACCCCACTGGGTGACCTTGAGCAAATCAGTCTCCCAGCCTCAAAGGATGGCAACGGGAAACACCCCTGAGGAAACGTGCCAAGGAAACCCAATGATACATTTGCCTTAAGGTCCCATAAATCAAAAATGACTTGGAGGCACACAACAACAAGAACAACAGCAACCTGTACAACAGCAACCTGTACTCAGGACAAGAGACTACTGTTAGGACAGAATATGGAGAAACAGAATGGTTTCCAATTGGCAAGGGGCTGCATTTTTCACCCCGTTCACTTAACTTGTATGCTGAAAAGATCATACATAATGCAGGTTTAGATTTGGAGGAAGGAGGCTTGAAAATTGGAGGAAGGAACATCAACAATCTAAGATATGCAGACAATACCACACAACAAGCAGAAAATAACAGACTTGGAACAATAACTGAAGAAACCCAAGGAAGAAAGTGCAAAGGCAGGTTTATAATTGAACATTAAGAAAACAAAAATAATGAGCACATTAACTTTAAAGTAGATGATGAAGACACTGAAATATTTCACAATTTTCCACTGTTGTTGTTGCATGCCTTTAAATCATTTCCTACTTATGATGACCCCAAGGCTAACCTATCATGGTGTTTACTATTATTACTGGGGCTGAGAGTATGTGACTTCCTCTAGGTCACCCAGTGGATTTCCATGGTTGAGTGCGAAATTGAACTCAGATCTCCAGAGGTGTACTTCTAAGCTCACTACACCATGTTGGTGTAGCCAAGGCACAGATGTTTCATTCCTTGGGTCAATCATTAATTAAAGTAGTAGAGACTGCAGTCAAGAAATCAGAAGGCTAGGACTTGGAAGGGTAGCTAAGAAGGAACTAGACTAGAGCCCTGGTGGTGCAGTGGCTAACTGACAGTACTGCAGCCACTCACTCACAAACCACAAGGTTGTGAGTTCAATACTAGCTAGGGGCTCTGGGTTGACTCAGCCTGGCATCCTTCTGAGGTCGCTAAAATGAGTACCCAGCTTGTTGGGGGCAATGAACTTACATATTGTAAACTGCTTAAGGAGTGCTTAAGTGCACCAATAAGCAGTATAGAAACATACTTGCTAGTGCTATCCTGGAGTGCAAAGATATATAACTGAATATTAAAGTTAGGATTATCGA